CGAATTCAAAAATATAGTCATTTCTTGGGTTTCTTGCGCTTCCTTCCAGTTCCCCCAGCCCTGCCCATGCGGGCATGCTCAAGGGGTTGGAGCTCCAAAGATTTAGATCTCTCATATTGTCGTCGAAAAGCCTTGGCTTTGGCGTTAGTTGCCAATTGAAATTCAGCCAGTACAGCAAGACCCTCATTAATGTAGATTCTTGCGGTCTTTGCCGCCTGCCACCTACCTGCTATGAGCAGTTTGTCTAGGGACCCGTGTTTTGCAAAATAGGAGGTGGCGCCTCCCCTTCGCAAGCTGTAGGGCCTGAAAGAGTGTTCACTGAGCCCAGTGGCCTCTAGGTATTCAGTAAATTTCTTTCTCCAGACATGAGCCGCCTCGCATAGTGAAGGTCGAGAACTAGGGGTATTCTTCCACTGCCAGAGTCGTCGCAGGGTATCCTCTTCCCGAATGGTCACGCTTTCAGCAGCGCCTTGACGACGACCACCTTTCGTCATTCCCAGGGAAATGACCGCGACACTCCTCGGGCCTCTCTGCTCTATGTGGCTCTTTTTAACTCCCAACAACTCCCCTGTCCGCAGGAGTCCATGGAAACCAAGTAACAGAGAAAGAGCAAACAAGTCGTCCTTCTTGAACAGGCTGTAGCCGACCAGGATATCTAAGGCTTCTGTGGGCAGGGGTGGAGCTCGACTTGGAATCTCGGTGGAGGACCAGGTCTTCATCAACCTCCAGGAGGATGGCAACCTCCCCTTGACTGAGGGTTTGTAGTCTTGAACTGCTGCTATGGAGTCACAAGCAAGGGCACGGCCTTCTCCACTTTCCCAAAGGAATTCTATGTAGTGACTAAGCCAGAAGTCAAGCGTGGGAGGGTCATCTGGGAATCTACGACTTTCTTCACGGAGGTAGGTACGGAATTTCTCAAGCGCTTTGTCATATCGTGCTCTGGTGGCTGGCTGGACAGCCAAATTGCGTAGCGGCCCCAATGCTCGTCGCTGCTGCTGCCGTATGTATGTGTACTTTGCTGTGGCTCACCATTTCTTCTTAACTGGGTGCCTCGACGGCCCATCGGCCGGGTTTTCCTTCGTGTGAACATACGCCCACACGCCGTGTGAGCCACTGGCAAGGAGCAAAGCATTTATCCGACTCATAGTGCGACGAAGTTTGCGGCTGCTGCTGCGGCCTCTCGACAAGGAGTGGAGGCACACCAAACTATCCACCATATGCACGAATTTTGTGCGTAGAGACTTCTTCTTCACGATCCTCCAGCGAAGCGAAGTAAGAACGGCCCGCATCTCCAAGACATTGATGTGTTCCGGAGAGCCTTTCCATGTCCACCCCATAACCGTCTTCCACTGCCACAAGCTGGATGGTAAGCTCGCTCGCAACCTATGGTAACGGAGAGTCTCTTCACTCGGCGCTTGAATCATGATGTCTTCGCCCTTCAGGCTGACCAGGTTCAGGAGTTTTGAGACCAGCTCGTACTCCCCTTCTGTACCTGCCTTCTTGATTCGCTTCATGGCCTGACGTTGCAACATCCCTCCTAAGGTGGTTGCGGCACCAGGTTTTGTGGCCTCGACCGCTTCTTGTGGGCTTTTGGAGGGGCATAGGCCGAGTTGCTGGCCTAGTTGGGCGAGCAACCAAACCACGACTGTCACATTCCAACTGTTGCCAATCAAGCTCTTCCTCTCATCCTCATGTGCCTCACTTCCATGATGTTGCTTCGACATACATTGTACAGTATAATCCCGAGGAAACCCCATGATTGCTTCTCTCTCACGAACTGACGGAATTCGGCATCTGCCATTGCCTTCCTTCACCAGCAAGCGATGAGCATATTGGTATGGGGGAAAGCGGAATTTGTCTGCCTCCCATGATTCCTTCTCTTCTGGGCTGAGCTTCTCCAAACCAGCTGGTCGACGACCGGGATGAGTCCTTGGCCTTGCTGTTGTAAAAGTAGGAAACGGCTCCTCAGAGACTTTCACGCAACCTGCTGACAGGAAGTCCTTTGGGTCAACCTCCGCTGCGAGTTCAACTTCCTGAAAGGCCGCCATCCCCTGATCAACTTTAGGATGCATGCGAACCCCAGGTCCCGGCCTCAATTCCCAATCCAACCAGTACAGTCGGGGTCGACGGGCTAGTGAAACACCACTGGCCTCAATCTTCACTGGAGTGTCACCGAAATCCTGCGACATGACTTCACGGTCCTTTCGGTCCATTGAGGCCACACTCTCTGCTAGGTACCTGACCTGCGCCCAAGGAAAATGTATCCTAAGCAGCTCTTTGATGCGTCGGACGTGGCTGAACAGACAGCTCCGGTGATCTCGCAAGGCACCACGTCGCTCACTGTTCAAACCACTCACACCTTGACAAGGAGGTCCAGCTCCCAGTAAAACGCGCGATGCTTGTGAGAACTTCGCCGCCCAGCGCCTGACCATCTCTTCGTCAACTGCCTCCACTCCTCCTTCAATGAACTCTGTCGCCGGGAACTTGCTCTCGAGAACGCGGCTTGCCTCCTTCTTTACCTCGACACTGATGTGACCCAGGACGGGGAATCCGCAAGCATCCGCTGCAACTCGCAATGCTCCGATCCCATCAAACAGACCAATCGTGAGGACCGAACACACATCAGATGGCTCTGCGACATCCCCTCGAACGCTTGCCCGTGACGCCGCCTCTCCGAATCCTGTCAGACCAACACTTCGAGTCAAGCCCCCGCCTGTGGTAGAAGCATCACTGGCTGTGACCTCTGAGCTCACCTCCAACCTGAAGTCCATCTGCGCCAGCGGAACCAAGGCAACAAACCTCGCAATCTCCAGCTTCACCTCCTGGGGTATTTCTAGCTTGATCACCGGCGGGTAGTGCTTGAACTCCTCGATGAATCGCCACACCGCGTTCAGGGAACCCAAGAGAGGCCTTCGGAACATGCTCATGTATACAAGGCCTCCGGCAACCACTTGGACCTGCTTTTGACTGCACCTCTTCTCCCCCAAAAGGAGACTGGCGAGCTGAGCGTACTTGAGCACCTTGAGAGGTTTGGGATAGGCAATCCCCCTCACTCCATCAATAATAGCACCCTGTACCTCGGCCTTCAACGATCGCGCAACGCCTTTCTTTGGATGGCGAGGGACAAACACTCGGCTCCCCTCTTAGGAGTTCGGCGGTGCGCTTGTCCATCTTCTCCAGTGAGTCGAAATTGTCCAAGTATACCCTATGCAGTGTGGTAGCAGAAGAAAAAGGTCGATCCTTTCGCACCTCTTGTTCTGGCTTGAGCCCCCCCCCCAATTTGCTCCCCAGCTCGTCTCACCATGGCCCTGTGAACATGTTGGGCCAAGCTCACGCTGTTCTTAAAGCCCATCGGTAGCACTTGCGAAGCTAAATAGTAGGGGCCATCATCGTCCGGCCACATTTCACGTGGGATGGGTTTGTTGAATCCAAGAAAACCTGACCACTCACGAGGAACCTGGAAAATATAAAAGAAACAGCGCACGTCTTCGGAGGATATCACTAAATCTTCACTGGGCATCAATTGTAGAGGGCTCATAGTAGCCCAAGTGGGAAGTGTGGCTACGTCGCCTTCGATGCCACGGCATACCATGTTGGCTGGCCGAAGATCCATGATCAGGCGGTGAACCTGATGACCCTCACGCACCTCCCCTTTCGCCACGCCAAATAGTCCGTTTAGGAGGGGGCGTCCGTCAACGTGATGGAGTTCCTTCTCTTTCAACGGGATGCACACTCCCTTCCCCAACAAACCCTCGCAGACTCGCGGCCAAGCCTCATCACTGATCATGATTCGCGGCGGCTTCATAGGCTTTTGCAACTCCTCGGGAAGAACATAGGACTTGAAGTTCAACACGTAATGACGGCAACCCAGATCAACCACTTTAGCCAAGGGGACCGAGGCAATCTCCGAGGGCATTGCGGGTGCGAGGTTTTCCCAGGTGGTATACTGAGCGCAAAGGACCTCCTCCCCACAGTAGTCGATGGTCTTTACCTGGAGAAAATCATGCCATGTTGTCTCCTCAAACCTTTCTTCCCATTCCAAAATTGCCCTCGTCTGACCTTCCAAGAACCTCAGGACCCCGACCTGCAGAGGGATCGGGGGAAATGCGCTCTCCAGTTCAACCCCATACAGGCTATTCAACGACATGCACATGCCCCTCGTCACCATAGAGGCTTCTTCAGAGATCTGTAGGAGGATAGGCCGTATGGCCCCGGGTGCTCTGACTACAGCAGGGTGCAAGGAGATGGCGAACAACCTCCTCAGTTCCACAGGAGGGATCTGGGATCAGGCCGAAGGGCCGCTTCAGCCCATCTGCTGCCAGTATTTCAGGCAGGTTCTCAGCACCCGGTTGACAGGTGGCCAATCCCGCGAGGCATTGACGTTGAGCTGGTGTCTAGACCTGTTGATGCAAGCTCGGATAGCAGAGGCTGCAGATGGCCTAATGCAACGGCTGAAGGCCATAGAGATGTGTTCGCAGGGTGCCAGCTGGTCAGTGTCGCAGAAGATCGAACTAGTCCCCTTGGAAAAGCCGATCATTTCAAGCCGCACGGAGGCCCGAGAGGCCATCAAAGAATCCAAGGAGGAGAACCGCACCAGAGCGGAAGCAAGCAAGGGGAAGAACAAAGGCGACTGGTCAAGCAGCTGGCGAGACACGCCTTGGCATCCAGAGTAAGGAAAGCACAAGGAGGGCAAAGGAAAGGGCAAAAAAGGCAAAGACAAAGAACAGAAGAAGCAGGATTCGTGAGGCCATATGAGGATCCTGCGGAGAGCCCGACGTGCGACATGGTTCGGCCATTTGAGGAGAGTCGAACGGATTTTTCCAGTGGCAGAGTGGTTGGAACTTCGTCAGCTTCGACCACCCTGGGTACAGAGGCCAAGAGGCGCCATTTAAAGGGGGTTGCCCTGGCCGAGGATGCAAGAGTTGACGCCTTAGAGCCTGTCTCAACCTTGCAAAAAGTTTGCATGAGGCCGCCGAGTGGGGGTGAAGAGTTGTATCATGTTTTTCCTTGGGTTTCCTCCATCTTAGTTCAAGCAAGCTCCAAGATTGAGTTGCCTTTGCAGTGCACGACCCAGCCCACGGGCGACGTATTTCCGTTGCTCTCTTCCTCGGACGAGCCACTGCTGCTCCCTGTTGATGAGCTCCCTGACGAACTCTTCCTCTTTTTCTTCAGCCTCCTCGAAGCCTTGGCTGCGATTTTCTTTCTTACCTTGGGATCGGGGTCCATCCCTGTGCCAGCGAAGACACTCTTCAGGCTCTTGCGGGCCATTGCTCTCGCTGACACCTTCTTTCTCTCCTCTTCTTTGGGAGACTTGTCCTCTCCTGAGGATCTCCCCCTCTTCCGCTTCTTCTTCTTCTTGTCTCGCTCTTTGCTTCTGCCTCTCTCTGCTCCTTGCTTCTCCTCTCCTTCCTTCAAAGCTTCCCTTGCTCTTGGCACCTCGATCTCGGCCTTCTCTCCTGCCGGTCTCTCTTCGACCAGGTTCATAGCCCAGGCGGGATCTTCCCCAGTCCTCTTCTTGATCTCCTCCCCATGTAGGAGGTTCTCGGCATCCAACATCGCCTCGCAACGGGCCCCGCACAGGTGAATGCGCATCACTTTGACGGCTGTGCCGCTTGCCCACTGCAAGATTGTTTCCGTTGAAGTGCCCTGCAGGTCCACTTCGACCTCTATGTCTTCTCGCTCCCGAATTTGAACGCTCCTCACCAAACCCGCGATCTCGGCGGGAGCCCCCCAGTAACGTCCTGTGACTGTGATGGGAAGGCGTCTTCGAAGCAGCTCCAAGGGGATTGAGGGACATTGTACTGCTTGACCTTCTTCGAACAAGCGTCCTTCTTCTCCTCCTCGCTCTCTCAATGCCTCACGGCCTGCAGGTTCGGCCCCTGCTGGTCGTCGCCTCACTGCTCCTCCCCTCTCTCTGGGAGGTTCCTCTCTTACCTCTCTTCTCCCTCTCACTCTTGCTGCCGGCCTCCTCAATGCCATTGAAGAGCTTGGCACGGACCTGCACTACCGTCTAAAGTAGTACTGGTCTTCCTTCTTCTTTCTGCCCTTATTTGCCCCCCAGTATTGGGGTTCCCTCTGCCACGCTTTGAGCTGACCTGACCAGTAACGACCTGTGGGACGAGCTACTGGCGGTGGTGCTCCTGAACGTCTCGCTACCGGAGGCTGCTTAGGAGGCGGTCCTCCCCTGTCTCTTGGCGGCGATCTTGAAGGTGTCTTCGGTGGCCTCACTGACGGCTTTGCCTTCTTTTCTTTCCCTGCTTCTTCTTTATCCTTCTGTTGACCTCTTCTGGATCGACTGCGTTCTTTCCTTGTCTTCGATCCCCGACTCTTAGATCTGTCTCGGCGTCTCCGACTCCTGCTTCTCTTACGGGACCTGGGTCTTGACGATCGGGTATCTGCTTTCGACTTTGGGCCCTTTGATGAACTCGAGTATTTGCCTTCTTCCTCCTCTGCCTCGATATCAAGCTCCTTGACCCCAGCCTTCTTCGATGCTGGGCTGACTCGGCTCTCCTCCTCTTTCAAGTCAATGGCCTTCTCTTTCCCGCTGACCTCTCTCCCCTTACTGGGAGATTTGGAAGGTAGGCGCGGACCTGCCGACTTGGGTGCTGCGCTCTTGTTGACGATCTCCTTCTGCCTCAGGAGGGTCTCAAACTTCTCGTGCTCCTCCTGGATGATGCCAGTCCAAATCCTAAGATTAGAAATGGCCCAACCTCGAAGCTCCGGAGGAAGATCGTCAAGCACCACCCAGAACCGGTCACGGGCACGGCAAAACGTACACTTGCCGTCCAACTCGGAAGTCACCGTACCGCAAAGGATACAGGACATAAGCTGAGAGCCCAAACCCTTCGGGAGAGAAAGGACTCCACCTAATTCGTCTTAACCCACGAGGACGTAAGTTCATATATACATGATTGTGACTATATTACTATATATGTTACAAGAACACATAACATATACACAATAACATATACACACTTCGTCCTGCAGATTGATGAAAATGTCAGAGTTACCATTGACGCCAATTCCATGAGCAATAGCAACTGTTCCAGGTCGATTGGAAAGGAATGTCCCGCTGTCAGTTTCCTTCCAAGATTGCAAGAGGAAACTGAGGAACCATGTTGACGAAACTGTAGTCAGAATCTGATGAATATTTTGCCACGCGTCATTTGCTGCAATGTCTGGATAAGGATTCTTCACCTGAAAGAACACAGGCCATATGTTTCAATCGTTGGTTGTGACGGTTCAGCCTGGCCTCCGTCTCATTTGGCAGCCAAAGGCCCCACCTTGGGAAAGATCGCAAGAACATCCTGCTGTTGTTGATGTTGATATGTCCAGTTCAAAGCTGTTGCACGAATTGATTGCAAAGTTGTCGGGTGCTGCCAAAGTTGGGGCCGGAACTGCAATACAAAGTCTGAACGATAAAAGTAACAGCCATTGTACAGCCCTTCATCCACCAAACGACCTTACTCTCAGATCTACACGCAGAGTGTTTCCAAAAAAGAACAAAAAGACGACTCTTTCTCTCATCTCATCATGAAAGGATTCAGCAACTGAGCATGCAACAAACATGCTCCACCGTCAAAGGAGCTGAGTCGGGACGTAGGAGCATTGCCACGTTCCCCAAGTCAGTCCTAAGGAGAGAATCACCACAAAAAAAAACAAGAGAAAAAAGGCAATGACTGTTGTTTGACCTTGTTCCTTCATGCGGCTTAGCTGCTCCAGCAAAAGATACTTCTTTGGTATCAACGAGCTTTCTCTCTGTGCCTCACCAGATATCGCCGAAGCCCCAATCAAAGGTCGCAGCTTGGAAGCTGCCAGCCGGCGTCGGTTTGTCTTGCACCGTCTCGCTGTGAACACCTCAACAACTCTGTACCTGCCTCCAAGTTTGCCGCGTTTGTCTGGCATTTCAATGTCTCTCCCCTACAAGACAATTCACTCATTAATCCCTTGAAGCTAAGACTCCACGGACTGTGCTGCGATTCCAGCAATGCAAGCAGTCATGGAAATTCCCACTCCTCACTGAATCTCTTCTATATGTGGCAATGTCGTGGCGAAAGCCATAAATCATGAAGCAAATTGAACTGAGAGCTTGAGAAACTACACCAGCAGAGTTGTCCACTCCTGGGTTGGGTAGCAAAGGAGTAGCAGGTACCTCTGTGAAAGACAAGAGTAAAATCTGGCACAACCTGTCACAGCAGCCGTGTTGGCCATCCAAGCCTTGAGATCCAAAACTGGGTAGACATTTGCGAAGCACCATGGCACAATACGCATCAAGGAGGAGCTCTCTGTCGGATGAATTGATGGAATGACTTCAGGACTCCAAGAACTGATTGACGTAAAGGCCCTGCAAGGCCCGCAGCGGGGCTGAGGTTGCGTCCATGGAGCCAAAGCAGCTGCCCAGGTCACGGACACTGACATCTCGCCATGCTAGTGTTGCCCCTCTGCTGAGATACCAGCAGCTGCCCTCATGTTCTTGCTGCAACCTCGCATGAAGGGCTTTGCGTACCCATCGTTTTGAAAAACGCATCACAACAGAGCCCTACAATTTGTCTTGGGTTGTATCTTGGTGAACCATATTGTTCTTTGCTGGAAAGCCTATTTGTCACAAGAAAGTGTCTCATGTGTGAACATGTGGGATCAAAGAAGCTCGTATGCAGAACGTGCCAGCACGGCAGCGTAATGCCATGGATGGGATGGAATCGTGCGCAGGTACCATGTGATGTCAAGTCATGCGAGAACGCATGGGGAACAAGTAGTTTCACTTCAAACGGCTTTGGCAAGCATACTTGCTGGGAAGCCCACTCGCTTTGCCTGTCTGCACCGTATAGCGACACACTGACTACACGTTGCCAACGGATGAGGCGTGAAAGGCCTCGCAAAAAGACACTTCGCCAGTGATCAAAGAGGTTTGAAGCGGTTCTGAAGGGCTGAAGGGCCGAGGGGGCTGCAGCTGTATCTTCCCATTGCTTTGTGCTCTCGATTCTCCCTGCAAGTCTCGCGTTCAGGTCTGCATTGAGTCAAGACACTTTACAGTCCACTCCACCACTTTTGCAATCCAGGTGCCTATCCAATTGCTCCAAGCGAACAGCCCGCTTCCGGCGTGCACAGCGGCACCTCAGCAATGATCTTTGCTGAACAGCGACATCCAAGATTCGGCTTCCATCTCCAACGACATCGAGACTTGCAAAGCCTCTCAGGACGACACCGATTCAGGGCTTCCCTGACAGCTGCTGCCATGTCACCAGGATGAATCCGTTGGTCGGTGTCCATGTATCTGTGGAGCCTCTGCAAAGCTTGTTTCCAGCAAAAACTACGGAGCCAATATTCGCAATCAGAGCCTCCAGATTGTGTGGTTAAGTAATAGCTTTGGTGTGTCACACCAGTGTCAACCATGCTAGCAACATCGAGCCACATCTAGCAAGTAGCAAGATCTAGTATAATTCCTTGGGATCTTAGAAGCTGGAGGCCATCGCTATTAGGTTGGAGGCCATCGCTATGAAGTTGGAGGCCATCGCTAGTAGAAGCTGGTGTGTCCCATGCTCTGGAGACCAGGCTCTGTCGGAGCGCCAGTCGGTTCTTCGAGGAAGCGACACGCTCGACGTCGAGCGACTGAAATGCCCCAGAGTCTATCGCTGAGTGTCTGGCGTGTCGCACATGGCAACAAAGAGGTAGTCCTTCTCCTCTTGCGTGCACTGTAGCGTCAGATACTTAAAAAAGACTGATGTTTGGTCATGTGTTTGTTGCTTTTGTCATGTCATCAAGTAGTCACATTTTTGAGTACTATGCCTGATAATTATGCATCCCGTCACTGTGTACCACATTCCATACAATTGAACCCAATCTCGCTTCAGCTAGGAGCCAAGCACATACACGGATCGCTGCTACTGCTACAGTTGGCTGTCCGTCCTGCTTGCTAAGATTGCCAGTGTCCAGCCAAAGACCGTCCTGATCTTCATCGAAGAAGGCCTGGAATCAAGGTGCCAAAGGCAGCAAAAGGGCAAGCAATCTGCCATCCAATCTGTCTGTCCTTTTGCTTGTGTCTCTCCAGCGCCAGCAGGCATTTCTGAAACCGTGACCTTGGAGCCAATTCTCTTTCAATTTTTTAGGAACTATATACTATATAAGGAACCATAGCTCTTCTTGGGATCCGGCATGCGCTCTGGCCAAATGTCAGCTTTCAAATTCAGATGCTTCAGGACCGTGTTCCTTTGACGGCGATAACGCAGTCCCTCACATAGTATAGTACTTGGCCGCAGTGCCATATTATATACTGTGATGGCTTCTTGCTGAAATGGGTTGATAGGGGATTGCATGAAACACAAAAAGCAACCTTCGCACCACATTCACGCAACGATGTCTATCAAAAGGAAATAGGCATTCACCATGTGTTGTCTTCTCATTGAACCCCTGCAAACACTCATTACCCTTTGGTTACCCTTTGGTTATATACTCATTTGAGTACTTGGGCTCACTTGATTTACTGCTTCTCAAGCTTCGCAGCTGTATAGCTCGAGCTCTTTAGCAACAGCTTGGTCGTCAACTTGAACAAGGACATCTCATAAGCAACGAATCTGTAGTATGAACTGGTCATCCACCAATTCAATGGTCGTGATGTTGTAAGCAGTTGTGAACAGGTCACATAATATCATGTACCTGCTGTCTCCAATTCCAAGCAAACCTTCATGTAGAACAAGACCATGAACCATCATAAAGCAACAATGATGGAGCCTTGTGGTATATTGTTGATCCTTCGAGGACCGTCGTTCAAGAGGGTCTTTGTTGTGTGCCTAGGGCCTAGGGAATCAAAAAGAACAATGTCAAACTAGTGTCAGTGTAAAATGCATGTAACATGTTTGGCCTGCGTTTCTTTTAAGTTCATTTTATGCACCCTAATCTAGTTGTTTGAACGCAAGAAACAATGACAGTTCACTGTTCAACCTGCGCTCCTCCAGCTTTGCTAGAGAGATTCGTTCACTTGCAAGGCAACAACAGGACCCAAGAACAACCTGCCTGAACAAACTCCAAATTGCGCACCACAAAAAGGCCGCATGGGTTAGCAAAGGCCCAGCCCTTAGAAAGTCCAAGACTGAACGAATCATTCCAACCCTTGGTTTTGCTTGCTCCACTTCAGTTCTCGACACAAGTAGAATGTCCATGGTCCAATGATTGACGATTTCCTGCAAGGAAAACACAAAGGTTTTTCCAGAAGGCCAAGTGTTTTTCAGCAGCTTTCCTCGAAGAACTCTCCGGACAGTTCCTGAACAACACAAGACACTTGGCAAAAGCAGGAGCCGTTGGTTTTTAGATCAAACTGCGAAAACTGTTCCATTCCAGCCAGAAATAGAATTTTGTCAGGTTCCTTCCAAATGCAGAGGGGGCGACCTTTTTTTTCGAGATTTTTTTTCCGACGCGTTTTGGGAATGTTTTTCCGCATTGTTTGTGGTCAGGGGTCGCCACAAAGAAAAAAAGAAAGAGAACTAGAGCAGGAGGCAAGGGACAGAAGAGTAGAAGGAGAAGGAGAAAAAACTAGCATAGGAGGCAAGGAACGGAAGAGTAGAAGGATAAGGATAAAAAAGAAAAGGAGGAAAAGAGGGAGGAAGAGAAGGAGAAGGAGAAAGAGAAGGAGAAGGAGAAACAGAAAGACAGAGGAGAGAGGAGAAGGAACAAGAGAAGGAGAAGGTTCTTCCCACTGCATCCTTGCAGGTCACAACACAGTGCACACCAGCCATGTGAGAATGGTAGTGCTTACCGGTAAGTCTGAAATATATAAATGTATGTCCATGCATGCATGTGTATATCTATGTACGTGTATGTATGTAAGTTTGTCTATGTATGTATGTATGTATGTATGGATGGATGCATGCATGCATGTATGTATGTATGTATGCGCTTGGTTGTTTCCTTGGCTGTCGTGATGCGCTGTAGCAATACCATCAATTAAAAAAACGCAGGAGGGGGGGTCGCAGCTCCTTCCGTGCAAGGAAACAATGTATATTGAGCATCCCCGCGCTGAAAAACCAATCACCAAGAGTTGTTTGTGCCCAGGTCCATTTTTCTGTAAAGTGTTTGAGGGTCAAATGTTTTGCAGGCCAGTCGCTTGCAAACTGGTTTGCTGATTCTGCTTTGAGTGATCTGCTTAAATTCAAAAAGCATGAAGGGGTGCGGGGGAGGGCGCGGCGCCTCACCCGCAAAAAAAAGTATAGTGAGCATCCCGGCACTGACCCT